AAATCTGCCATCTGTATGTAAATTCACACATAAAATAAAAGAACATAATTAATTTCTAAAGAGCCACCCCCCAACCATACAAAAAAACTGAGTTCTGTTTCCCCTTTTTTCTTTATATGTCAAAAACCAATATCTTGAGGAGGCTGTACAACACCAGTAACTTAAAATCGACATGGTATTTTCAGTTTCTTTAACAGCTTCTTTGCCCACTCAGGTTTGTCTTTTCCTTCATACTTCTTCAGCTTATTGTGGTGAACAACGCGAGAATCACTCGGACTTAAATGAATGCTGAAAATCAAGTCATTAAACTTCCGCGTGATTACAAAAGGACCAAGATAAGTTGGTTGCAATTTTTGACATATTCCCTCCTTTCTACCCTCATTTAGATACCACACTAGTTGTCCTTCTTCATAATGATGTTGCCAGGTTCTAATGTCATAAGTTTCCTTTTGGTGGTGGGCTGCTTGTCTCAAGTGTCTCCTTGCTACTTCATGAGCTTTTAACAGACGTTGTCTCAGATTTTCAACATATTCTCCATAATTGTGCAATATTCCTTCTGGAGTACTATTCCCTAGCATCAAATCAGCTGGTAATCTAGTCTCCCTCCCCAGCATGAGGATGTTAGGTGTTAGTCCTGTAGAATCATGTGGAGTTGCTCTGTATGCTGCAGTGATAAAGTGTAGATTTTTGTCCCATTCGGTTTGCTCTCCTCTCAAATAAGATTTAATCATTTGTACTAATGTCCTGTTGAACCTCTCTGCCAAGCCATTGCATCTAGGGTTCCGGGGACTTGTTCTTGATTTCTTTATCTCCAATAAATGGCAAAATTCCTGAAATAAATTACTTTCAAAACACCTACCTTGATCTGACAGAATTGTCAAAGGACACCCGAATTGACAGACTACTTGTAACAGGTAGTGCGCACATGTCTGTGCTGTTTGGTCAGGTACAGCTATGGCTTCAACCCACTTAGTGAAGTGATCAGTGACTACGAGGACATACTTGTTACCACGAGGAGTTTCTGGAAGTGGTCCTAGCAAATCTGTCGCTAATCTGTCCATCGGCCCTCCTACCTGGTTTTCTCCTAATCTAGCTCGAGGGATTCTCTGTTCAGGTTTGTTCCGGGCACATGTGTCACACTTCCTTACCCATATAAGGACATCTTCTTTGGCCTCGTACCAATAGAACCGTTGTTTTAACTTACCATATGTTTTGTTAACTCCAAGGTGTCCTCCCATTAAACTGTCATGCATATATTTTAAAATGGTTCCTCGTAAGGACTGTGGTACAATGATCTGCAGATGCTCTGAACTATCGCATCGGCGGTAGAATTTCTTACATAAAACATTGTCAACAATACAAAGGGAGTTCCATAAATGCCAGTAATGGCGAATAGCAGGACTAAGTCTACGTACCTCTGCATGACTGACTCTCTGGTTCATCTTCACCCACTGATACACAATTTTAACATCAGGGTCATCCTGTTGCAATTCAGACACATTGATTTCACCTGTAAGTGGTGCTGGGTTTTCTCCTCTTGACCTAGTAGTGATGGCCCTTATTATATCATCTGATCCCTGTAGAGTTGACTGCTTATCATCTGTTATCCCTTGGTCAGGTTGATCCTCCAGTAATTGACTCAACATCTCCTTAGTTTTCTTCCTGCATTTACTGCATGGCCCACACTTCAAAGGTAGAGGCTCCATATAGTCAATTTCATTACTCTCACAAGTGCAATTCCTTGGATTAATACACATTCTAGAAAGGGAATCAGCATTTCCATGCTTTTTACCAGGCCGGTACTGCACGCTGAAATTGTATTGAGATAATATTTCTATCCAACGAGCTATACGCCCCTTTGGTTCCTTGAGACTGAAAAGCCAAACCAGTGCCTGATGGTCAGTCCTAACAATAAACTCCCTCCCTAGTAAATATTGTTTATAGTACTCGATGAAGTATCGCACAGCTAGCAGCTCTTTGTCAGTAACGCAATAGTTCCGTTCAGATTTTCCTAATGTGTGGCTTCCATAAGCTAAGACCTTTTCCTGTCCATCTTGTACTTGACTGAGTACTGCCCCAATAGCATAGTCGCTGGCATCAGTATCTAATATGAATTTCCCTTGGTCTCTAGGGTATGCCATTATGTCAGCTCCAGTCAGTGCTCGTTTTAGGTTATTGAATGACTGCTCACATTCCTCTGTCCAGTTGAATTTAACATTTTTCCGGGTCAGGTCAACCAATGGTTTTGCTATTTGGGAAAATCCTGCAATAAATTTTCTATAATAATTACCTAACCCTAAAAATCCTCTGACTTCCCTTACGTTCCTTGGAACTTTCATCTGTACAAGTTTTTCCACATTCTCTGGATTAGGAGAGATCCCCTTTTCATTAATAACATGACCTAAAAAGGTCACTTCCTTTTGTAGAAGTTGACATTTCTCTGGCTTAAGTTTTAATTTTGCTTGTCTGATACATTCAAAGACCTGTGATACTCGTTCCATATGCTCTTTAACAGATGATCCAAATACAACTACATCATCTAGATAGATGAGACAAATTTTCCACTGGAGACCTTGAAGTGCTAATTCCATCAGTCTCTGGAATGTTGCCGGTGCACATGAAAGTCCAAATGGCATTGATAAAAATTCATATAACCCGTACTTTGTCACAAAGGCGGTCTTTGGGATGCTGCTCTCTTCCATTGGTACTTGATGGTAGCCTGATGTAAGGTCAAATGTGGAGAAGTACTTGGCACCTGCAACAGCATCTAAGCAGTCATGTACTCTGGGCAATGGGAAAGCGTCTTGATTGGTTACAGCGTTCAGTTTCCTGTAATCGACACAAGGTCTTATCTTTCCATTTTTCTTAACTACCAGACAGAGAGGACTTGCCCATGGGGATTTAGATTTCCTAATAATTCCATTTTCTTCCATTTGAGAAATGATTTTTCTTTCCTCTTCTGCAAAGGCTAGGGGTACCCTCCTGGGAGGTTGTCTGATTGGTCTGGTGTCTCCTGTATCTATACTATGTTTAACTAAGTCAGTTAGTCCTAAATCTGAATCACACCTGGAAAAGATATCTGAATATTTACATAAAACTTTCCTTATCAGCTCTATTTCTTCTGAAGTCTTGTCTTCCGAGGCTTTGTTAAACATGTCCTGTAAATGTTCTGGAATCAATTTAGGAGTCTGTTCAATATTTACCTGACGAAGGTCTGACCCATTGATGAGGTCTATTTGCTCTGGTATAGGGATTACCTCCCCTTCCACTTCCTCAGCCTTGCCAATCCAGGTGTCTTGGTAAAGTTGAACAGCACTGCTGAATGGGTTTAAAATTCTTACCTTACTAGTAACCTCTTCTCTTGTATCAACTAAACAGTTTGCCATCATAACTGGATTTTTCTCCAAGAAATTAATAATTGGTTCTATAATATAATGTGATGAATTATCTCCCCTTTCACAGCGTTGTACATACACATCAACAATTTTCTCACTGAGTGGAGGAATGCTGTAATTGTCTGCCAATAAGACCTTGCGTACCAATAAGGGTGATCCTATTCTGATAATTGGCAGTACTTCATGCCCTAGCTCTAAAGTATTTGCTTTCAAGTTGATCTCTGCCTCCCCTATGTCATTGTACATCAAAAAATCAATTCCAATTAGCCCTTCATCTTGAATATCTGCAACAATAAACTCAAAACAAAATTCAACAGTATGAAGTTTTATTTTGAAAAGGGCCTTCCCAAATTCAACAAGTGGGTCTCCATTGACGGAAGTTAGTGGTGAAGATTTTTCTAAAACTGGTCTTTCCAGTTCTGGGATTTTGTCATAGACTCTCTTGGAAATTACTGACTTCACGGCTCCAGTGTCTACTGTGAAGAATATCTTAACATTTTCTAGTGTGCCCCTTAAATAGATCCCATCAGTTCTTGGATGCTGTCTATTGATTGAAAGTTGTTCAGCTTGTATAAGGTTCTCTGGCTCTGTCACTCTTTTCCTACAGGTGAGATCATCAGGTAAAATATCCTTTACTTGATCCTGAACTCCTTCACCTTGACCCACTTCATCCCCCATCTCTGTCATAATGGCCTCCTCTGCATTATGTCCCATGGAGTGACCTTGGGTCCCCGAGTCCTTAATCTCGACCTCACCTGAATCTGTGTCATCCGAGCTCTCCCCATCCTGATTCTGGACTCCTTCACCTTGAACCTCTTCATCCCCCATCTCTGTCATAATGGCCTCCTCTGCATTATGTCCCATGGAGTGACCTTGGGTCCCCGAGTCCTTCATCTCAACCTCAGCTGCACTTAAAACATTATTTTTAAATAAATTATTTTCGTTACAGTGACTTACTGAGATATACAAAGATCCACTTGTGAATTTAGATAGGCCCATTTCATCACCTGGGGTCTGCTCATGGCCTACTGAGCCGACCCGCTGCAGTTTAACTGTCGTGATTCTTTAGGAATAAAGTCTCTGGCGTTGGTATTGAACACAGTTTGATTTTCTGGTCTTGTAGATGCAAATCCTCTTTGGCTTTCATTTGATCTCCTGTTCACCCTCTGTGAACAATTCTTGGAAATATGACCTGGTTGTTGACAGGTGAAGCAAATTATTTCCCTCTTATTCTCTTTGTAACTAGGCTTACCTGAGAACTGACTCTTCTCACTTGAATCCTGCATTTGTTCTTTCAAATCAACCAACATATCTTTAAGCATTCCCTCTAAGTCCTGCTTATTCATGCATACCATTCCTGCCTTGTTTGATTGTTCTGTTTGATTAAGTTTCTCAGTTTTCTTTTCTCCTTGTCGTCCAGTTTCCTTCTGTTTTTGCTTCTGTCCAACATCATGGTCATTTTCCTGGTGATCCCTGTTGTTTGACTTCACTTGTCTTGTCCGCTGGTATCTATCACGGTCTTCCTCTTGATGTGTCCCTGTGTTTGTATTTCGAGCAGCCTCAAAGTAATGCACTACATGGTGAACAGCTTCCTCAATAGTGCTTGGCTCCTTGTTCAACTCTACATGTATTCTGGCATTGTTGTTATGTAGCCCCATCAGAAATCTCCTTAACAGGTCCTCTTGCCTGGTCTCTAGTCCTCTCTTTGGATATGCTTTGTCATATAGGCGCTTCAGTTCTGCTGCATATTCCTCGGCAGATTCTCTGTAATTTTGATTCCGACGACTGAACTGGGTCACATAGGCTTTTGTTGTCTCTATGACATCAAACCTTTCTTTCATCTCCTGAATGAGGACTTGATACTTGGAGGTAACCGAGGGTTTAAGTTGACCGTAAACGAATTCAGCAGCCTTACCTTGTATTCTAGGCAGCAACTGTTGTAATTTCTCATGTTCGTCCCATTTATTCAGATTACTAACCGACTCAAATCTGTTGTACCAAACCTTCCACTGCTCAGTGCCTGTAAAGGGAGGTAACTTGGCCCCAAAAGTCTTACTGTACCTTTCGTCTCTAATGATGCTGGAGGTCTTTACAGTAGAAGTACAACTCCTGCCATCTTCATCTTCTGATGATGAGGAATCAGAACTCACCTCTCTCTGTTTAGTACCAGAGTTATGTCTTTTTACTCTCTTTGTTGCTCTGGAATTCGTGGTCTGCTGAGAATATGTACTGCTAGGTTCAATAGCTTTATCTTGTAGATTCTTACCATTCAGATTTTGTACCATTGTCTTCATTTCAGTCATAGTTGTAGTCACTTCCTCAATTAGAGCCTTGAAAGTGCCTACGATACCTGATCTCTCCATACACCTTTCAAATGCTGCCTCATCATTTGGCTCTGGCTGATTAAGTTTCTGATCAAAAAATGGTGGTCGTGAAGTGACGGGTGCAGATCTAGGACGTGTAGAATTAGGTGTATTCCTAACAGATGGAACTATAAACCTTACCTCATCCTGACTGCTATAGTCAGTCTCTGCATTTACATCTCTGGGCAAAATTGAGCTAATCGTGCCAGTATTACTCCTACTTACAAGAGGGGTTTGTTGAGTAGGTGGACCCTGTTTGTTTAATGTACTCATTCTATCTCTGGTATCTGTTGCTACAGTCTGTGGCCTATTTCCTTTATGCAGTCTTTCTGACATCTCATCATTAGTAGAATCTACATCTGTTTGAGTATCTACTTCACTTGACTCTAAAGTGTCACCTGTTTCTAAGTTTTGTACCCTCTTCTTTTTATGTGCCCTTGTTGCATACATTGTGATTACCTGGGTTCGTTTCACTGGATCCTAGGTAAAATGCTCAAGGATCCCACTTCTGACACCAAAAATATGTAACGTGCTGACGCTACACTCTGAACTGCCTGAGTCTGTCAGGATGGTGCAGTTCAAATTTTGAAGTTTAAATTTATTTCTTTTATTATTTAATTCTTTTTTTTTCTGACACCAGGTACTATTTAAGTACCAAAGAAACAAAATGAAGAGTCTGCTTCAAGTTCCACAATTTATTTAGTGCAATAGTCCCTTTTAACAAGATAATAAATTAATAGCCTCCTCAAAATAACATGAAATTAATTCCTTTGTTTCTCAATTTCTCCCAAAATAAAATCAGAATTCAAGTAAATTCACAAACAGTTCTTTTGTAAAGTCTGATTCAGAGATAACTCAGAATATGTGACTTTAATTAAATTACTTGCAATTAATTAATAAATTGATAAAATTCCCAACTTTTGTAAAGTCTGATTCAGAGATAACTCGGAATATGTGACTTTAATTTATGTTATTCACACTAATTAACAAATTAATTGATCAGATTTCCAAATTCAGAAATATGTGATCAAATCTAAATCCCTAAAAATATTTCCTAGCAATTTCAATTATAGTTTTTAAACCCAGTAAAATTCCAAATGAATAAATAAACTTACATCTTAAAAATTATGCTAACCCCACTTGTTTCTCTAAAACCCAAAAGTTGCAGACTAACGAAAATTGACGGATTCGACATATTTATACCCCGTCAAAATCCGTTTAACCAATTTACTCTAAAAATTCGTCTACTAAAAACAGATTTCGTTTACAGTAAACGGAAAATGTCTCGTGCAACATAGTTCCATTATTTAAACTTTCAAACAAATAAAATTATACAATTTAAATACTACTTTTCATTCAACATCTCATGTATAAAGATAAAAATATTACTTTGTTTACTTACAATGTCACGTCATGAAATTCACAAGAGGCATGAATATTAATAAGGGTGAAATCTAAAAACAGCAAATTGACCCGGAAGTAAAGGTCAACCTTACAAAAAAATAGTAGCTGACAACTTCCTTCAAAAAGTGTACAAATAATGGAATTAAGACAGTGCATATACCCTAACAATACAAGAAATGCATCATATAGCCTGGGAATGAATCAGTAAGTGTGTCAATTAAAATATTTAATGATTTCCATGAAATGAAACGCACGTGTGACATATCAGTTCGAATTTCCTCAACATAACTAATACGTAAGATATGACATTACAATAATCTAGTAATAAATAAAATTACACACATTAAACTGTAAAAATAAGTACCTGAGCATAACATAATATTGTAAAATGCAAGTTTCCCGTAATTTACAACTATAAAACAAGTAAAGTTAACTCAAGTCAATCGCCAGCATTTAGGGACCATCTCAAAATATATGTTCAATATAACAACACAACATAACATTACAGTATGTTATGTTGTTAATATGCGTGTTGTTGTATACTCTGCATTGAGCAGAAGTGGATTAATTAAAATAATAATACTATCCTTCAGCACTGACTCTTGCTGTCCATTGCAGTTTAATGTAATTTACACATGCCATTCAACATACAATTTTTTTTCCCCCTTAATTATTATTATTATTATTATACTATTATTATTGTTATTATTATTATAATTATTATTATTTTAATACTCTTTTCCATAGATTATGTATCTGTTTATTCTACATGAGGCAGAAGTGGATTTCCGTATATCCTTTAGCACCGTCTCTTGCTGCCTCTTGTTGATGTACCAGACATTTTTTATGTGTTCAGTTATATGTATAATATTAGTAATAGTAATGCACATCATTGCACATTAAGTTGTATCAATTAAGAGTACAGATATATCTTAAATAAAGACAACCTATGTCTATGTGAAACTCAAAACACCACCAATGTGCTAAATGGGAAGAATCGCTCTTCATTATATGTTGTATTCTGTCTGTTATCTTATCTGTAATTATACATGTTATATGTTTATGCCCATTGGGCCCTGATTTGGTAATAAATCCTATTCTATTCTATTCTATTCTATATCTAGTATTATTCATAACACACAGATCGATTTACATTGCTTTTGATTATTCAACCCCTCACAAGAGGTACCATATCAAAATCATTAAGTTAAAGAATAAGGACATAAATAAAGCTCTTAGACAATGCAAGTCTTTGTTCAATTAAAGCCCCTCCCCCACCTGGTCAGATCCATAGGGGCTTGTCTTCCGGATTGTTAAATGTAAAATAAATTTTTAAAAAAATTTAAATCTACTTTTAATACACTTAAAAGTTGTTACAATAAAGATTCTGACACTTTCAGTCAAGAAAAACCACGTTTAAAAAAACATGTACCACACCTATATACATAAACTCTAGAATCTTTATTGTAACAACTTTTAAGTGTATCAAAAGTAGATTTAAAATTTTTTTTAAATTTATTTTACATTTAACAATCCGGAAGACAAGCCCCTATGGTCAGATCCACCTTCCCAAATATATACTGTTAGCCCGTTTAGATGAAAGCTTATGTACATTGACAATATATATGAAACAAATCAGCATGCACAAAATAATTGCTAAAATAAAGTCATTTCAATATAATTACACACAGTCATAATAGTAACCATACCTTATATCCTCTCACCTCTGCCTACTTTCGTCTTCGATTCACCGTTTCACGTGAGATGAGATGAGGAATGGTCATGTGATTTGCCATGTGACTGAGATTACTCTTGAATGATGGGTCACCAAACCTCTACAAATATTTACTTTGCCCAGGGACCTATATACTAGATCCCTGCTTTGCCCAAGCGTAATAGTCTTCCTTATTCGTATGTTGTATAATAAATAATTAACATGAAAAGGGTCGGGCACGGTGTACTCGATAATTCACACTCCAAGACGCGCCAAAACATGTTTTAAACAATAACTTGAACAGGAGTGTAATTCGTAAATTCCTGCATAATCGATGTGAGTGCAGCAAATGGTAACTTATTATTTCTTGAAAAAACAAAGACTTTTTTGAATGTTATGTTTTTATTTGCACATGTTCAGATGGTAAAAAATCTATCGATGGTTTTGAACCCTGGTCTCTGAACTTTCTCCAGGAACCCCCCCCCCTTCTCCCATCTCATCTGGACTCCTGCTATGGAACATGTGGAATATGAGGGATTGAGGGTGCGATTATTTGCTAAGGCGTGTGTTGAAATAAGTTGCTGAACGATACATGTGCATTTAATAATTTTAATTGTTGTATAATAGCAGGGACATGGGATATACTAATAAGTCCTGGATAATAGCTACAGGGTTTTTGCCTTACCCCAGTATCTTTTCAACCAGAAACATAAAAAAGAATGTCATTTATGTCTTTGCCTCAATCCCCACCCAATTTTTAAAAGAAGTATTTTTTTATTTTGCTTAATATTGTATTTGCAGAACATGGCAACTGGTGATCTGACCAACAATATTAGAAAACTTCAGAAAGAACTGAAGATCATGAAGTACCAGGAAAGTTTGGATTTGAATGGGTATGCGCATGATGATGACCAAGTTATTATAGACTAGTTGTTCAAATAAAAAAAAAATTAAGTTTCTTGCATTGCAAACACATAGGAATAAATTCATTGGTTCATCTGTTTCACTGCCTAAGAGAATTTAAACACACATTTAGTACATAATTATATAGAACCACATACAGGTCTAGTGAAACATTAATGGAAACATCTAATTTAGATTTCAGGATATACATCACATACATGTATTGTAATGTAATTTTAAGGTTACCACTTGAAACTTATTACTTGAAGTTTATATTAATTAAGTAGGCAACACATATTCCTTGAATACTCTAATACTCATGACCAATAAAGTTGTAAGAGCTAGTACAGTAAAAATCACATGTTTATAGCAAACATCTTGATGATGAATTACTAAATTGCATTAATTTTATTTATATAATAAATACTGTATCTTGTTTTACTCTATGCTTTACCAAAACAAGTAGGCATGTATTTGAATTCAACTTAAATTGGAAAATTTTTAATGTGGTTAAAAAAAATTCTTACTACTTTAGACTTGCACAGGGTAAGGCCTCAGCCCTTCTTCCCATCTACCACTACGCATTTACCACATACAGCTGTTCCATAGCAGAACTGATTGCTAGTACAGACACAGAGTTGTATACTAAGACAGATCTACGATTTATGGAGGGATGCTACAAGGTGGGGGCAGATGTTTATATACATGTATATACTAATAGTTAAAATCTGACGACACATTGCCAGAATATCTGTTTTTATCTCTTTGTAATATATGATAAAATAAATCATAATTATCATTGTCTTGTGATTTTTTAACTGTTTTGTCTTTTCAAATGTTTAAGTAAATAAAAATTTTCGCAGTGTAGTGATTTCCAATAGGATTGGAAAAAATTATATTTTATTGAGAAAAGTGTGGTCTGACCTTAACATGTACAGGACAGAAATTGATATTGATGTCAATCTTTTAAAATTTAGTGATTTTTTTTGTCTCTTTTTACTGCCTAGTTTGCTTTCCTTTTGTAGTTATGGTATTATTAATCTAGGGGTGAAACAATACGCCTCCCTCATGATACGATATGTATTGTATAATTTTGTCTCGGTACAGTTATTTTCGATACAATACATTTTGATAGCAGGAAGCAAATTAGACGTTTTATGCTTTGTTTCACTAATTCCAGTCACTAAATCTAAGTGCAAATTGACTAGAAGACATTGATAACAATGAATTTACTGTTAAAAATTATTTTACAAAGTATCAGTCCTCAAACATTTACTTTTTTAGATTTTTATTACACTGAGTAGCATGTTTTACCTATGCTAAACCTGACTGAATAACGATCCCAACCAAAAAATGAACCAAACCAAAAATGGAAATTTTGCACCATATATCAAACCGAGAATAAATACTGTGGTGAATCGATACTGCGGTGAACCATTTCACCCCTATATTAATCAAATATGCAATTGCAGATTCTGAGGGACTTGTTTCATTATAAACCTCCTGTTACAAAGGAACAGTTTTTCAACAATGGTTTTGTTGAAAGAAAAATTATCATGTGCACAGAAGTGATGAAACTGATTCAACAAAAGAATAAGTCTCTACAGCCTCAGAAAAAGGCACCCACAACAACGACTAGTAACCTGGGACAGGTGGTCTCCATGAAGGTTAGTAATTAAAATGTACTTATATGAGGGCCATTCAAAAAATACATGGAAAATGTCACTCTTTGTCATATAATTTAGAAGATATTTAAGATCAACAAATTTTCATATATAAAACCATGTTTTTTGTTGATGTGATGCAATATTGTTAGTTTAATGTTCAATAAATTTTTAAAGCCTAACAAGGCAAAAGTGACTGACCTGACCCAAGTAAGACCTAACAACTCCAGGAGATCCAGGTCATCCATAGAAACCTATGGTTCACAGAGGGAGGGACTATCAGACCCTAAGAATGTGGTTGTTTCTCCTCGCTCACTGACAGATGTTGACCATCCTCAGGTAAATCAAGTACTACTTTAACGTACCTTTATAGTGTACTTTTGTTTTTTTGTAATCAGATGATTTGAAGACATTGTAACCAATTATAGTATTGTCAAATTATGTACAAAGGGTACAAAAGTTTTAAAAAATAATAATCGTATACAAAATATAAAAGCTGTTAAATTTGAGGTATTTACAAAATGTTATTCATTTTTGAAATATCACACATTAGATGTTTAATAATATACCAATGCACATAACCAGATCATTCATATGGCCTGAAACTTTGCTTCTTTTTCTAACTTTGTAATCTTTGATTATCTATGTTTCAAGATGAGATAACAGATATTAAAGTTTTGGCATTTGTTTTAGCCAAAAACAATAAATTTTTAATAAAAAAAAAATCATCCAGCAGGTTGTCAATGAATTACTTCAACCAGTTGAGAACATTCCAAGGCATACAGCTCACCATGGATCAAATAACAAATTACTCGACAACCACTCACCAATGAAAGATGCTGACACATCTTCATCAGAATCTTTAGACCAAGCCATCACACAGAGGTCACCTCCAGTTCATGTAGCCAGTGTGACCTCTCCACCTAGGGTCACCAAAGAGGTGCTGCCATCTGCTGGTAGAAATGTTAGAGGATTTAATTGGGCAGTTGTCACTCCTAGCATTGCAAAAACCAGATCGTCTATTCCATTTTCTAGTGGTACGTCTTTTTAAAATTATTTGTGACTGACCTATCCATTCGATTTCATTTGTATTAAGCATATTTTTTCTCCCCTTGTTCCATTTGGATTCATATTTAACCTACCAAGTGCCCTTGGGTTAAGGGAATGCAGTGACCTTGCACAATTCAGCTCAGGTGAGCTAAAAACCTGCAAGTTGTGGACCACAAATTCAGTGACAAACTAAACTATAAATTTATGATTGTTGTATATAGCTGTGATGAGGAAAATTCTAGGTCTGGGATGATATGCTTCCTTCTGTATTGATGTGTATCATGGTAATTGTGCCATGATATGATAAGTATCAAAATATTTTCATTTTGTAGTTGAGTAAGAATAATTTAGTCACAGTAGCTTTATATTTGTTGTTAAACAAAATTATGTATCAAAAGCAGTGTTATTTATTATATATTCCATATTTGATATATTTTAAATATTTATTTTATATTTCAAAACTAAGTGAAAAAAGAAAAGAAGGTCATAAATTTTGTTTTATGTGTCAATATTTCTACATGTATTGTCCTTGCACAGAATTGTTATTAATATGATATCAATATTTTGTTATATCTTCCAAGCCCTAGAATGTTTTTAGATGGATGCATAATTCAGTGATCCTTCTTACCCATGAGCCTCTTTTGTTTCAGATATCCCAGGTCATGCTCAGTTCTATATGGAGGAGGATGAAGATGATGATGAAGAAGAAGGTATAGAGACAGTCATGGCTGCTACACCAGCACATTCCATCATGGAGCCTCATAATGGGGAAACAGTTGAAACAGAGAGAAACAGCAACAGCAATCCTCAACAGCCTCAAGCTGGCCAGGACAGCCAGCATATGTTAAATGAAACTCATATACTCAAGGTGATAGCTAATATACATGTACCATAGAATCAACTCAAACATGTATAAATTTTGAATGTTACTTCGACAGTTTTAATAAACTTGCACTCTTGTACCAGTACTAGTAAAAATTTAGCACTTAAGCAGACAGATGTACAATAATTTGAAGATAGAGAACTTTGCACAATTATTCCTTCCTAAAAGACATCTTTGTGTGTTTCTAATGTTGTGCTATAAAACTTTTGTTTTTAGGCAATAGAACAGCTGACTAAGTGTTTTGGGACTCTAGAGTCTGGATTAACTAGGTCTATTGAGTCTCTGAATGCACGCATGATTCTTGTAGAAAACAGAGTTTCTATTATGGAAAGCAAGGTATGATTTGCCAAAACTCTAAGGGTGCAACGATAAACCGTTTGACGGTATATCACGGTATATTTTTCCCCGGTTCAATTCATGACACGCTAAACTGATATCGCGGTTCGGTTCAATCGGTCCAGAATTATCCGTTTTGTCCGTTTTATTTCCTTTCTTACTATTTCAAAATGGCTTCCGCGCAAAACTCGATGTCGCCGATAACGCATTTACAGCAGTTAAACTCATCTCCAGCATCTTGCAGACCTCAGATTTAACACAGAGAAGGACTTAACACAGAGAAGGACTTAATGTGATTATAAGTTATAGGTATTAAGACAAATGATAAACCCCTTAGATCTAAACGTATTCTTTGGTAATATACGATATTTCATCACGGTGTGTATTCCATGAAAACTCGTTTTCTTGTTGACTAAAACTTATTAACACGAGAAATATGACAACTGGTTTTCTACGTAAATAAAAAAGGAATAAAAGAATGAATGTCTTCCTTTTTCATTCCAATTTAAAAGGAAGATTATTGGAAAAGGTCCCCATAGTTCCCTGTAAATGTTCATTATTGGTTTAGAATGTTGTCACAACTCAAAGATCTACCTAACAATCCAATTCAAGTTAACAAAATGTTATGTTAATCATTATTATTAAAATATGAACATTTTGTATAACCCTGTCAAGTTTTAAAAAAAATATGAATACAAACTTGAAAGACTTTTTAACCTTGTCTTGTATCATAATACGTATCGTATCGTGAACTGAATACCGTGATACGTATCGTATCGTGAGGTTAGTGTATCGTTGCACCCCTACAAAACTCAGAAGAATTTTAAGATGAATAAAAGCGTTGGTAGAAATAAATTTAACATATTTTTTTGCTCAAAATTATGCTTGTAGATCGAGGCAGTTGTAGCTGGTTCTCAACGAAAAGAGGTGCCGACTTTACCACCGTCTACTAATCACAATGTAGCATCTCAGCGATCTGAAATGTCTGGTGGTGTTACCAATCTTCACGATCAGCGGCAGCAGAATTATATCACAACAGAAATTACCAGACCTCCTAGCAGCACTACTCTAAAGAACAAAGCAGGTACAGGAAATGGTCATCAATGTTTGAATTTACTGTTAAGTTTAATGAAATGTATAATAAAAAGTGCTTTTTGTCAGCCATAAGGTTGAATAATGAATTTAAAGATGCATACACTTTAGAAATGAGCATTGGTTGTTTCAACATTAATTTTTTACTCCATAGGGTGAATACTTAACATAGGACATATACATATACAACTTTACTACATATATATGATAATGTCAATTGATAAGAAAAAGCCCACATATATAAGTCACTAAACATGTGTCAATATAGATTTGAAAAAAAAAGATGGTTGGGCCATAATGAAAAAAATCCTAGATTCTCATCTAAGTTTTTTGAAAAATCAAGGTGGGTGGGTGAAATTTATTTTATATTTTTTATTTATTCCATTCTACAGATTTTATTGTTGACCTGATCAGTTGGTGTGGATTTATCTACTGCGTCCAAATAAAAGTCGTAGTAGTGGTCCATTTTAATGTACATATCCCTCACTACACATCCTCACCAATCTTTCACAACCAATGATCCTTGTTTAGTACATATTCTACTATGATTATTGCAAATATCAAAGAGATGCCACGACCATTATTCTTCAATTAATCACAAACATCATCAACAAATTAAATTATCGATTATTTTAAATTGGTTTCCTCTATTTTGACTGCCTTCACTAGGAAAAAGATAGAGGTATCTTTTGATTGTGGTGTAAATTGGTGGAAAAAAATACTTTGGGTTTTTCCTTGAGATACAAATGAACGAAGATAGCGTTCAATTGTGACATCATAAGACACTTATGATGACGGCCAAATCTAGCTTCTGCATTAGTTTAAATATTCAAAAATATAAAAATAGCAGAATAAAAATAATTCCCTTGTAGTTGGAAATGTTGGAGAATATTCCCCTCAGTCTTGAAAATTTGTTGGCAAATAAAACCTTGCATTTCAGGCTCAATTTTTATTTGCCAGCAAAATCTCTCAACCATTGGGGTACATTATCCAACAATTCCTCTGATACAGGAATTATTTCTTAATTAAAGCTATTACCATTTTGTCAGCTGTCAAATTCACACTGTCATTTGCGGGATTTAAAACAAAAGTTGAAGGGTAAATTGAATACTGATCCCGATCAGAATCAAGAAGAAGATAATCAAAAATTAAAAAAAAATCAAGGCAGGCAGTGATGAGAATTTAGGAATATTTTTATTATGGCTTTAACATGTAATGGAAGTGCAGTGCTCAGATGAAAAATTTGGATTGAAAAAATTCTCATAGTCATAATGCATTTGTAGGAGGATTTGGCAAACTAAAATCATTGACACATGACACATACTGTATTATAAAATTTAACAATTGGAATTGTAAAGGTGATATATTTATAAAGATTTTGAAAAACCATTTCCTTTGAGTTATGTAGTATATTTTCAAACATGGCAGAATCAATTTCTGTATTAAAGATAATCCTGTAACAGTGTCAGGACAGGAAAGAAACAATACAGAGCCTCAACAGATTACCACAAATCAGACAACAGAGAAATCTCCCAAGTACAAAGCTCCTCCGTATCAGTCTGCCTTGTATGACGAGTCAACTCTGGTCATGTTTTCACCAATTCGTCATGTGGCAAGTACCCCTCACCAACACAGAACTCCAGAAACAACATTTTGTTCCACTAATAATGACACAACTGACCCACGGCGATCCAGTACCCCAGAACACAATACTGTTGAGATGGACACACAGATAGTGCTGGGGGAATCAATGAACCTCCCAACTGGGGATACAGACACCCAGAGTCAAGTGAACAGGATTAAAAATCTGTAAGTTTATATTCTGCTTTACCTTCAAAGAATGGGGCATATTGCTCTGCACCTGCTGATCAGATGGTACATTTAGGTTGGTCAGGGTGTAGACCAGTGTTTCATGACCAGTATTTTTGAGGACCTTTGCTCCCTTGATGGTCATCAAACTTTTGACACAGGTTAACCATGACATGGAAAGCAAAGAATGAGTGGACTTAACACCCTGTTTTGGATCTTTTTGCAATTCCTCTACCAAGCTGTAAATGAAGTGATTCCTAAATATTTTACAAGCAATAGAAAGATCTACGTGTACATGATTATAATAAGTTGAAAATTCGTACAAAAGCAATGCCTTGTTGCTATGAATCAAAATTGATGCAACGATGCATTAGTGTCACCGTCTGGAATTTGACATGTACCCATAGTGGTTTTTAGGTCACATAATCAATATTAATAGAAGGCGGGGCTATCGATCGGCATCAGTGTCTACATCTCTCTCTCCTTCTCCCTCTCTTTAGAAATTCAAATATGTGTATGGTATATAACAGCAATATCAGTATGAAATTTTTAAAAAATGCAAGGAAACGCAAAATTATAATAACATTTAATTTGCTATTACGGTAAATTCTGAAAATATTGCAACCAAACAGGCTCCAAGATGTGATTCAGATCGAGGTCTGGTTGAAGAATACAATGTAATTGTTTTCACGAGTACACTCGCAGGTGGACATCACATGATGAATTGTAATATTCAACAGGTCAATCGAAGTCAAGTCAAGGTTAACGCAGTCATAACAATGGAAGCTAGAAGTTTGTTTTGAATATGTTTTTTGTAAAATTAAGTATGAGCGCACGTTTGTTGGCTTATTCTCCTTCTAGGAGTATATAGGAATTACATGGTCCTTCAGTAAGTGCAAACTTGTCTTGGCTATAAATTTGTAATTAAGAGTCATTGGAAATTCATATATTGTACAAAGATTTCTTATGTCCTAAGGGTGTGTCATTACCTTGACCCATGGTCATTTTGGCAAGTTCAAGGTAACTTACAGAGACATTTAAAAACTTTGTAATGGAGAATCATTGGAACCTCATGACCTTGAAATAAGGTCACTGGCAGAAAAAGTATAAAATTCTTGTCTAGTCTTCACCTTCTTTATGGAGAAGGATTGGAAGTTCATACTTCATACAAAGATTGTTTATGATCTTAATGTGTGTTGTTACCTTGAACCAAGTCATTTAATGAAGTTCAAGGTCACTTAGAAAAATTTTATTTCCTGTCCTTACCATATATTGTAAAGGAGAATATTAGGAAATTTCTTTTAAAAATCTTTATTCCAGGCCCAGCAAAGCCATGATCAAAACTTTTCTTAAGCCTATTTTAAATTGACCAACATACAGTGAAATATGTGTGTAGTGAACACGCTTAAAATGAATAATTGCTTACAGCGAAGTGATTTTCATTCCCTGTGACTTCAAAATATATTGTGAACTTAATGGATATAACGATTTATGTTTACAATGAAGCAAAAATATCTGTCCCTGCATGGCACTTCCTTTTAAGGATATTTTACTGTACTTTAATGTAGTGCATTCTTTATCAAAAATTAGGAGGAACCTCAATATTAGACAAGAAGTGTGTGTAAAATCAGGCTCTGATTACCAAAACAGACTTCCTTTGTAATGCAATGTGTAGATGAATTCTTAGCATTTTGAGTTTAGGGCCCTCCAAGTAAATAACGCCTGTACTTATAGAACCACTCCCTCTTCTAAGGGAACCATAAGCGAAAAAAGTTGGTCTTAAAAGTGGATATTCCCTAAACCAAAGATCGGTTGGAAATTTCCTCCTTGTGTTCAAGAATAAAATATTTTTTTCTCTTATTTTCCAGATTTAAATCAACAGAAGTTATGCTGAAAAACTAAAGAATGAGGGGGAAAAGATGACAATTTGTATGAAGTGTAAAGAGAAGAGTATTAAATAAATGCACTAGTAGTTTAAGTAGCATTTTACTTGATTGATCATATATTGTGAGCATTAACAACTACCTCATGTGTCATATAAACAAAGTCCTAGTGATATGTCATAGTGAGAATGCACTGTTATTTGTTGTTAATAAATTAATAAGCATTTAGAACTTTCTTATTTCATTATGAAGATTCTTGACAAATTGGAGTTGGGATTTTTTTTTCATAGTTTCTCTGTTTGAGAACATATATGTTCAGGTCTAAAAGAAAACTTTAAAAATAGATGGAAAATAAACTTGGATTTTAAGACATATGCATGATAATTTGTGTTAATGGCAAAGGTCAAGATCATAACGTGATCATGCCCCTCGCTATCAAAGTCTAGCATCTAGATAGAGGTTAAAGTCATGAGGATGATAAATACAGTAGAATCCTTAAACTAGTATATGTGAGGAATTTGTTTCCTGTAATTTAGGGAGAAGCACCAGTCACAAAAAATTACTTTTAATATTTTTCTGAAATACAGTCAAACCTTGTTATCTCAAACTCTTTGGGACCAAGAAAAAAACTTTGAGATATCAGGAGGTTCAAAATATTGAGGTTAAAATACAATGATATTAAATTTCAATTCACTTTGACATATCCATAGTATCTGAGATATTGGAGTTTGAGATATTGAAGTTTAACTGTACATATGAACACTATCTATCAACAGTCCATTGATGAATTCATATTCTCACAATTTGATGTCTACATATGCAAGTATCAGTTTCACTATATTATAAAACAAGAAATCTACAGTACATGTATTGATGTGCACTTTAATGTGGTACATTCTTCAGGTAGTATATAATATATGATTTAAATGATAAATGTATATGGTATAAATGAACATTTGCAATGAAGTGTTATTATACATGTACAACAGCTGCAACTACTTGATTGATTTAAGTTTAACTTCCCTTACAAGGTTGTTCCACTTAAGGGTGCGAGACATAGCTACAAAATGTAGCATTTAATATGCAGGTCAAAGGGTTCAAACATATCATTACTTGGCAATCAAAGCCATTGAGCAATGAGGATTCTTTAGTGTGCTAATGCCTACCATGACACAGATCTGAAGATTTTAGGGTCTCATCCAAACCAGCCACTCATTTCAAGTGACTTTTTGAGTATCATTTAAGTATGAATGTTGAATAAATTTCATAATTTGTTATGCATCCTCAGTAGCACGTCAAACTTAAGTATGCATAATTTTGCAATTTGTATATAAATTAACAAAATAAAGGAACTTCTTCCAAAAGAGGAATATATTATTAAAGATACCCACCAGCTTTAATAACATTGAATTAATGCGAAAAGTTTCTCTGCTTCAATGATATGAATATCTACGTATCTCATATTATTATCAATGTTCATTTCACCCTAGATGTCCAATAGCATATGGTATCTTTTCAATACATATCATTTCACTGACAGATTGCTAATAAACATTTGAATTTGTGGTAAAACAAGAGGCACTGAAAGGAAGACATAATAAAGAATCTTAGATTAAACAGAGTTGAACCCTTTTATTTGATATCAGGTAAGATGATGAAATAATACATACTGAAAATGTACTTTTTAGCTCACCTCGACGAAGTCGAGATGAGCTTATGCTATACACCCAGCGTTGGCGTCAATGTCCCAGGTTAAAGTTTTAGGAGCAAGTCCATTCCCAAGTAACTACAAGCCCTACCTGGACCAAACTTGCATGGATGATGCATCTAGGGATGGACACTACCACACTTGCTTCGGATGCTGGATCTGACCTAGATTTTCCAGATAAGTGACCAGGTTAAAGTTTTTGGAGCAGGTCCATTCCCAAGTAACTATAAGCCCTACCTGAACCAAACTTGCATGGCTGATGCAACTAGGGATGGACACTACCACACTTGCTTCGGATGCTGAATCTGACCTAGATTTTCCAGATGAGTGAATTTTAGCCATATTTTAATGATGTATCTTAGGATGGACACTTTCAGACTTGTTTTGGATTCTGAATCTGACCTACATTTTCCAGATGAGTGACCAGAGTAATGTTTTTGGAGTAGCTATATAATATTATGACATGTTATGATTAAACTTGCATGGATGGTGCATCTAAGGATGAAAACTTCCAGACTTGCTTTGGATGTTGGAACTGACCAAATTTTCTTGATTAGTAAACAGGTTAAAAGTTTTTTGAGCAGGTCTATTTCCAAGTATCTATAAGTCCTTCTTAAGCCAAACTTGTATGGATATTGATCTTGGGATGAACACTAACTAGAAAAAATATGATGTGAGATTTGCCTTACTTATAGATAACCTTCGTCGAGGTGAGCTTCGTAATCTTTGATTACCTATGTTTTTATGGAGTCAAAATTCCGCAGAATCAATTTCTGTAATATCCCGGAGTAAAAAAATATGTGGATTTCTTAGATCGCTACTACATGTCTTAAATGTACTTAAAGTATGCTTGGACAAACTTCTGCGAAAAATTTGTGACTGCATACATAGCATACCTCGTAAATTAATACCATGTGGAAAAAAGGTACCTCAGTAGTAGTTAGAAAGAAACAGTCTCTGATATTAATACTGCTCCTGCCACTATAATGTTTTAAAATGACCTTATTCTAAAATACATTGTTAACATTACATGGTTTCCTTGAGTTTCCATTAGATACTGATTAATTTCTTTATCACAGTTTACATTGATTATATCATTGATAAGTTACAGTTTACATAGCTTTTCTGAGTTTTTCACTAGAGATCTGATTTAGTTCTATAAGTTTTTGTAGCTCAGGTGGTGGTGTTGGTGATTTTAAGTTGATGTCCATTTTATTTAGCACTGTGTCTGGACTGGCTCCTTTCACAACCATTTTGACCAGTGCAATAGCCGACACAAAGTTGGTTTTTGTTTCTATTATTTGATGCTCTAGGTAAAATGCCTTTGAATCCCAGTGGAGTATCTGAAAGGAGAAGAGAAATGTGGTCTATTGACGACTATACTTGTACTCTCTAAATTGAAGGTAATGAGAATTGCTCTTCCTTAATTGTTATATATACATGTAGTTTTCATTAACAATAAATTATCCCCAATTAAAAACCTTGATTAAATAAAATTTTATGTTCTCTAATCAATTTTTATACATGAAGATCAAAATGTTAGCAATTGCAACAGGAAAGGAGAATGTATGGCTGGACCAGGAATCAAACCCGGGATCCCCGCATCACTACTTACGTGATCTACTTACTAAGCTACCCAGGCAAATATCCATGGCCCAAACCACTACATTCCTCCCTCCTTAAATTTATTTCACCCTCGAAGACGCAACCCAAGTTCTTATTTGCCCTTTGCAGGACTTTCACCTGCAAGTTCATGCAGGGATGCTCACTACACTTAATTAAGAAACAGGAAAGAAGAAAATGTATGGCTGGACCAGGAATTGAACCCAGGACCCCTGCGTCACTAGTCAGGTGCTCTACCTACTGAGCTACATTTGTACCAAGGCTGATATCCATAGCCCAAACAACTACACAATGAAAATCAGATCAATATCTCACTTTTGATTTTATGAGGAAAAAGTCCATGAGTTGTAGAGATTTTCTGTATCTTATTGTACTTCCACCATTAGTTATTGAAGCATTGCTTTTCCAAAGTCCACTAAAAATGCCCTTTTCCAGAAATAGTTTCATCCTGGCAAAGTCACACTCACGGAGATAGCGGGAATTATTCATGTGCCAATTTGCATCTAGATCACTTGTCCAACAGACTCCTGTATTAAAAAAGTTCAGAATAATTAAAAATTAAAAGCACACAGTCTCGGAGTAGTTTTCAATACATTTTGTGAATTCATTAACAAGATAAATATTTCTTTAGCATTAATGCACATCTCAGAAATACTGAAGAGCACTATTTGAATTCAATTGAAAGAAATTATACATCCCTGTCTGAAGCATCTGGAGTAATATTTTAGCAAATTAAAAGATTTTTTTTTCTTACATCACAGGAGCCAGTATATCATTAGAATGCTAAAATATTTGCTCAATAAAAGTTTCAAGGCAAACCGATTCCTGGTGTATCAGATAATCCATACATGCATCAATTAAACAGTTAAATGTACCCACATTCTTTATGTACCATTAGAGTAAAGAAAATGATAAAAGCTGCATTTTTTTTAAAAAATAAATTTCAGATTAGAAATGATAGTTGTGTGAAGAAGAGATATCGTTTTTAGGATAACTAGTTAAGTGCACCATAGATTTGGACAAATTCCTTGACCCGCCCCTCCATCAGAGAGGTTAACCTGGTTACGTTACCATTTATCATACTTTCATCCAAAATGGACATTCGCCTAAATTTTCCTTTTCGTGTGTACAGAATTATTGAAATTACAACTCTAATGTAATATGCGACATCAAACAAAGCAAATGCAGCAGCAATAATAACAAGGAAAACAGTCATTTTTCTTAACCAACATTAGAAAACGCAAGCTAAATTCAGAACCGAAAAAATCCGACTATTCTTACTAAATCCGAAAAGATAAATATCTATCTGTAGTGGCTTAGATTTCTATTTCATAGCCCTCGTTTCGTAAATTATATTTTGCAAGTATTTGTTGGTATTTCAGTCTGATAATTCTATTTACCTTATGTTTTCAGTTGTTACTTACGTAAAACCCCTTTATTATTTGTCTTTTATAAGTTAGGACATGTGTTGACATTCCACATGTTTTACTTTTTAAACAGGAAGTGTCATCCATGTTGGGAGTCTTTCCATAGTACTTTTGGTAGCTGTGTTCTGATTGGTTAAGTTAGTTGTAGGATCTTTGATGTTAATTGGCTTTTATTTTTGCGCCTAAAGTTAGGGTATTTAAAGCCGTGTTCGTGTAGTTTTCTTCACTTGGGTTGGGGAACACAACCTCATGGTTAGTTCCTCTTTACTGTGCTAAGAAAACCTAGTACTCTAGGTCTTAGCTAGCTTTAGTTTCACGTTTTTCACAAGTTCTAGATTTTTGTTAGGAAACAGTTAAAGCTGAACACGATTCGTAAATAGGCATACGCCATTTTCGATATTACTATCTAAGATATCAGCACCAGGGTATACTCTTCGCATTCGTTACACCTGACTGCTTTATTGTCACGGGTATCGGCGTGAAATGGCGACTTGTGTTCGTGCTGGTTATCTTCCATTACTTTTGTTTACATTTTATTGCAGTTACGTATATTTGTGTTTGTTCGTATACTGCACTGACCTGTGCAACTGTTGTAAATCTCTTTGGTATCAATACTCTCCTGTATCACAAGAAGCACAGTTATTTTTGTCGCTACCAAGTGCTGTGTAGCGTACGTCCGCCTACACCGGTGACGATTGATTGCACTGAACAGTGACCAAGCGAGCGGCTCTATATATAGGGGCCCTCAGATATAGCAATAGTCCACTCGAATATGGCGGACAGATTCTTTTTACGAAGCGTGTTCAGCTTTAAGGTGTAGGTTTTATAGAGTTAATTTAGTTTTCCCCTTTCCAAGTCCAGCCTGGTCTAGGGATTTGTAGATAACAGATATAATTTCTAGAACCACTATTCACTATTTATTATTTATTTTTGGTGTTGTTTATTTTCTGGGTTAGATATTTTTAGAGTCCAGATTTAGCTTTAATATTTTAAGTTCAACTCTAGAGTGTTGATTAGTAGAGTTTATATTGGGTGATGTAGCTCATTTCCCTTACATTTTTCCAAATCATTGACATTTAGCAGTTTTTAATAGGATTTTTGGCCTTTTTCATAAGTATGGAAGCTCAGTAGGGACATAAATTATTTTCATAGGTTTTTTTTTTTTTACATTCCTCCCTTTATTCTTGTTTAAATTTTGACTATTATTTATTATTTGTTATCATTGCAAAGGTTAATTCTCACTTTATTAAATTTATAAAACTTACAACTGTGTTTTCGTTTAGCGTTGATCATAGTTCAGATATCCCCTTACCTGGGTTGACAATCATAACTGGAGGCAGTTTACTGCTTTAAGCCAAGTTGGCTAGTAACTTTGTTAAGTTATTCATTAAAGAGTTCTACTTCCGGTTACATATCTATATACTTACCCATATGTTAGTGCAGTTTACCTTTACCTTCAACGCCTGTATTCATCAATAAACTCATCCATCAAGTGCCCACTGCATGAATGCATGTATGAGATATAAAATGCTCGGTTATTAAACACGTAGCCGAGAAAACCCTTTAAATTTTAAGCTTGTACAGTGATCCACTTTTTTTTCAACTATTTCCTACACAGTGTTGAATCAAGAAAGACTGCCCTCCATTGGCGGATCAAGAGGGGGTTCTGGGGGTTGAAACCCCCGTTTATTTTTTGCCGAATGGGGAGAGAGAGAGGGGGGATAAAACGTTTGCTGGAATAGATATTTGTACGTCTAACTCACGTTTTGAATATAAACGTAGTTCAAAACAACTCGAACAGTTGTTCATATTCCACTTGCTATCAGGTAGAGTCTCACAATTTTTCTTTCCCCCATTTACCTTCACTTTTCCTCTCTTTCAGCGTTCTTATTTATGAGTGAATGGAATAAAATATTCTACTTATTTCAATATATGATAAGTAACATGCGAGGTTTAATTTGATATCGGATTCCGACGATCTTTGGCTATATACATGCAAGTACAATTTTCGGATTATGTTTTGAAGGAACTAAATTAAACAAGTCAATTAATACCACAGTAAATATTAAATATGTAATTTTTTGTTTTAGATAGGTTTTCAAAAACCTACCAAAGAAAAAAAGTTTTTCAATTTCTAAAATAAAATTTCTAGGTTTTCTTTGGAAATGCTGCAAATTCAATTTTAAGACTTCAGTAGTTTTTGGAATTAGTTTTTTTTTATTCGGACATGGGGGGGGGGGGGGGGTTACCTTTTCAACGTAAAACATGGATATTAAATATACCTTCACCGCCTGCCTACGGGGTTTATATCTCTCAGTTGATTCGATACGCAAGAGCATGCTCTACGTATTAACAATTTCTAAATCGAGGTAAGTTTATATTAACAAACGAGTTGATGAAAGAAGAATATTACCAGTCTCGTTTAAAGTCGTCATTTCGTAAGTTCTATGGTTGATACGATGACCTTGTCAGCAAATACAATTTATCATTAAGTCAAATGCTGACTGACGTTTTTCATACTAATTGTTCTGCCATTATTTACACATTAATTGTCATCGACGGATTTTTCCATTATTTCCCGATCATGACAAGGAGCACACTGTGGGTGTGACCGGTCGGCAGGGGATGCTCATTCCTCCATGGCACCTGATCCCATCTCTGATGTTTTAGAGGTCCGTGTTTGCTCTGCTCCAAAATTTGTACTGTTTAATGGACTTTTGAGCTTTTTGAGCCAGAGCTCTATTAATTTGTATTCTACTGAGAGTGAGACCGGTCCTTCGGATGAGACCGTATAAACCGAAGTCCCGTGTCGCAGTAGGTGCTGGCACGAAATAGATCCCTTCCTGCCCAATGGCCGTAAGTGCCGAGAAGTGCTCGAGAGGGACGTTAAACAACATACAAACAAAAAAACTGAGAGAAGTTATTCCCCTTTGCCATTCCCCTTTGATAATTAATCACTGTAAATAATGTATTTGAAAGGTTAATCAATCTAATTAAAATTAGATGTTCCGAATCCGCTATCGCTTCTCAAACATCTAACAACATCCCATTCGGGGTCACGTCAGAGCGACCTTTCGATTACCCAATGAAATCGCCGTCGTCGAAATCTTGGCTTATAGTTCGGATGCGTTTCTTTTTTTTACTGCCAAACCTAAACGCCCGAGAGGTTTCGTAGTAAACAAAATATGCATGGTAAAGACCGTGCTATATATGAATGTGACGTGTGGGATATATAAGTAGTTTGTGCATTTTCGTTTGCGTTATTCAGGTAAGAATGCCAGATTGGCGGACTATACGTTCAATTTATACCAAAATTACTTTAATTCAACGTAAGAAAGTCTACTGAGCATCAATAATATAGAGATGTAGCCGTGGAACTAATTTTAGAATTGAATACAGAAGGTTGAATCTGATTGGCCAAAATTTTTATGTTTATTCATAATCGAAAGGTCGCTCTGACGTGACCCCGAATGGGATGTTGTTAGATGTTTGAGAAGCGATAGCGGATTCGGAACATCTAATTTTAATTAGATTGAAGGTTAATAGAATAAGAATTATGCAAGAATATTTATTATATAATACAAAAAGTACTTTCACAGTTTTAATGATCAGGTAGACTAGCAAAATTATAATAGATAAATAAAATTGACACAAAAATAACTTATCTTATGAAATGTTCTTCAAAGACCAAGAAAGGCAAATTATATGAGAGGTAATAACATGAGAGCCAAAAAAAAGTATTGATGCACTAATATTTTGATAATAGTCCTTGCTGTAATAGGCCTTACTTGTAACAGACATTTTGGAACATACATTGTATTAGGATACAGGTATTTGACTTCAAGATGTTGACTTTGAAATTTGATGCAGTTTTCAGAAATTTTATACCCGACCCTAATTTTTATTAATTCAAAAATTTAAATCTTTTCTATATGATGGACAGAGTCCGACAGACAATACAGAAAAGACAGATAAGAGTTACAGTATGCCATAAATCAATGCATTCAAACCAATAATACACCAAAAGTGGGGGACCAAAAGTCTCTAAATTTGATTGCTTGCTCAGATTCTGGCAAAAAAGCCTTCTTCCTAGGTACCTAAGACACTATTTCTTATAGGCTACTAGTGCTCATTTGTATTAGTGTTTCTTCTTCTTGAATTTAGTAAAATAATCACCTTATTTAGTTACAAATGGATAGTAAAACTGTTTGCAGTATACATGTAACTGGGGGTTTTGTGACTACGCTGTACAACCTAATTCAATCAAAAAGAGAACATTGTGAATTGTGACAAAATTGATTGTGAAGTTCAATGACTATTCACTAAATGAAAATTTATTAGTTCAATGACATCAAACACAAATTTACTTGTTCCTCAAAAGATTCATAAATGACTCCAACAGCTGTATTTTTATGTGTGTTTAATTCTTTTTATCAGAATTATAAAATCCATTCCAAACAATGCCTTTGTGATATTAATATGTAACAGGTCTTTTTAGTTGTACATATTTATAATAAACTTTTATGTAGAATATTGTATATGTTACTATTTTGAAAGTAAGATCTTATAAATCTTAAATAATCACAGTTATGTAATTTTAAAATTACACTATCAATTCAGATTACATATAAGTCGCTTTTTCTTTATGATATTGAAATCCCTCAGTTATAATGCCAGGGTTGTCTACAACTCTGATATGTGAATTCTGACAGTTCTTAATACAAAATGAGATGACATTATCCTAGCCGTCCTGCCATTGACAATTTCTCCTGAAATCGATTCTGAATTAATAAACCTGTGTCCACATATCTATCCACACAGTTTGTTATACAACTCTCTGTTCTACCATCAAATTTGGCTACCATGGACCCAACACAAATATCCCAGCACATCTCTGTCTGTTTGTTTAACTGCTGCTGTATCTTGGCTTTCTGAACCTCTATCTGAAAAAATTTTAAATAATCAAAAAGAATGGTCATGAAATCAACCAATGAAAAAAAATCACTCTGGTAGAGTGATAGTTTATTCTATTTTTTTTTGGGGGGGGGGGGGGGGGGGGGGGCTAGTGTTTTAAGTGGCAAATGAAACACAGTAAAACTTGTCTAATCCCGACACCACTGCTTCCATAAAAATTGGCTGGATTAGACAACATTCTGGATTAGAGAATATTTTAATTGAAATAACTTAAAGGAACTTAAAGCTTACATTGTAATAGGCAATATTTCAGAATATATTACATCAGGATTAGACGAGTTTCACTGTATATGATCCATGGCCGTAGAAACCGGGGGGGGGGGGGGGGGGGGGGGGGGCATGGGAGGGCCGTGCCCCCCAATAATTTTGCCGATACATAGAATACTATAGAAAACATTTAGCTACTATATGCTTGTGCCCCCTCAATAATAATGTCTGATGACTTTTTTTTTTTTTTTTTTTTTTGCTTGTCAAGGAATTTTGGTAATTGATAGTGCCCCCCCCCCCCAACTGAAAATGTATGGTTGTGCCCCCTCAAAGTGAAATTGCTTCCTACGGGCCTGATATCACATTTTAGTTGATGGGTTTAACCTTAGGTTATGACTGTTAAGTGATTAATAAACTGTAACCAATACATCTAAATTCTTCAACTTTTTTTTTATCTAGACTGACTATAGACATCACTTAACAAAATAACTTCTGCAATATAATTATATTTTTTATGAATTATGATGATGCCACAATGTGAGTATTACTAAAAGTAACACGCACGCACATCAGTATAGTTTTTGGATTTGCGAACAACTATGCTTTGGATTTTATGTCTCAAAAATATGAGACTATTTGAGCAAGTGTTGTTATACTTTTATTTGATTGATTGTATGTTGTTTAATGTCCAATATGAGAATTGTTGATGCATGTAGAGCTGTCACCTCCTTTATGTGAAGTGATACAATTTTGTCCTATGCATGGTGTTTATGGCCATAGCAATGAGTTGTTGTTTTTTTTTGCCAATGCCTACTATGACAGGGGACCTTAGTTTCTAAAGCCTCATTCAAAAGACCCATAAAATTCACTTATGTGGGGTACTTGGATGAATTCTTATAGTCATTCTTATGTTAAACATCTTAGGTTTGAATCTAGCAGTGTGCCTGGAACAAGGATTGAATTAAATCCATTATAAACAATTGGTTAGATAAAAAGTTCATCCTTTTTACTGAAATTCATCTATATATAATTATAGATCAGGTCTAGCCCAAAGACTATTTCTACCTACGTAGCTATTAATAGCTACCTAAGTATTTAAACCTACCCAAAGAAGCTATTTTTACCTGCTTTTTGCATTACTTGCATTTTGTGGCCGAACGGCGCAACAAGGTGAGTACCAAATTTCTTGATACATGTCACACTGATGATGAATACGAGAAAATTTTGGCCAAAAAATGATTACTTCGTAAATTAACAATTTGGCATTTTAATTACTATGCAAAATTGTTAATTTACAAAGTAATCCTTTTTTGGCCAAAATTTTGTTGTATTCATCATCAGTGTGACTGTATCAAAAAATTTGGTACTCATCTTGTTGCGCTGTTCGGCCGTTTGGCCACAAAATGCAAGTAATGCAAAAAGTAGGTAAAAATAGCTTCTTTGAGTAGGTTTAAATACCTTGGTAGCTATTAATAGCTACGTAGGTAGAAATAGTCTTTGGACTGGACCTGTAGATATGTATGTCATAAGTACGTTATATAAATTTCACATTTTATGTGCAACTATTACTGCACTTCACTGTGTGCAATGAAAATATGTTTATACCTGTACTTCTTGTGCAAACTGTGGATCTATCTGCTGGTCATCCATTTTGATCTGAAAGTATTGATGTCTATGCCAAGTTATTGCATTCAATGGTATTGCGTAGAAAAAACAACAACACAAAACTAGAATTTGGGGAATTTTTCATAATTTAACATTGAAAAACTTTATATCAATAATATTTTCCAAGATAACTAGTTACTGGTATGTTGACTCTGATGCAATAATTTCAAAAAACACAAGACACCGAGATAATTCGGATTTTACTTTCCATTATATTTGCTACATGGCTACAGTGGCACTGTTTCTTTGAGTTTCTCATACTCGACGATATTGCATACGCATATAAAGGAGAAAATTATGTCACCATTTCATTATATCAAATAATTCGATTAAACTTACACAAAATTAACAAAAAAGACGACTCCAGTTTACCCTTCTGATTCCAACGTGTATGTATTTATTTGTACTGGAACTCCGATCCCGATGTTGATGATTGATTAAAAACACAATCTAGAAGCATTCACAGAAAGAAAAACTATTAATGAATTTTAAAAAAAATTAGCAGGCCTCTAATCTATTGTATACTCATTCAAAAACTTAGCAGTTTATATATAAAAAAAACAACAACAATGACAACAACAACCGGTATATGCATTGTCTCTGTGACGTCATATCGCATTTATTTCTATTATGACGCCATAAGCATATGACATCATAATGGAACAATGAATACAGTACTAGTACACCGTAGTACTGATAAAAATGTCTGTATCAAAGGATTCATTTGAAAAAGCTCGTTTAAAAGCTCATTCGCGTATACTGGAATGGGTAGAAGAAACGAAGACTGCTGGAATTACTCGTCTGCATGATCGGTATGGGGAAGTGTTTAAAAGAATTGAATACAAAAGGAAAGACAGCAGCGCAAAGTTCAATTCCGGCGAAAAAACTAAGCCTTCCATTAAAAATGAATACAACAGACGACAAACAAAAGGGTTGTCTAAAACAGAGCAGAAAACATATAAGGAGAATGTTTCACCTGAAACGCGTAAAACACCAGAGAGATGTAAAAGCCGTCAGACACCCGACTCCAGGAAATGGCAACAGCTGGACAACCGCAGCTCGCATAACAGAAGTTCCAGAGCGGGATTTACTAGCATATGTAGCATTGAAGCCGTTTCTCTCTTGTGTGATGATGAAACCGTAAAAAATTGCGAATCGTCTTTCAACCTTCCGCCTATCATAGATAAAGATAAAAATCCCAGAAAATTTAAGCATGATAAAGACTCCATTCGATTGATACTTGGGACAGCTAAATTGAAATTAAAATCACAGAAAACCTTATACCGAGAAAAGTTAAACGTAAATCAAGATAATATTGACATTGAAAAAGATGTCAAAAAGTTAGAAATCGGTAATACTGTAAAGAGGCTCAGGAGGCAGAGTGTTTTTCGAAGGGTGCACAAGAAAAAAGATCTACCCAAAAAAGAAAGCCAGGAATCTTTGCGTCCTTTGTATGTTATAACGTCTTCCGACGGAGTCGAGCGAAAGAGATCCTCCACCACACCGATACAACGCCACACCCAATCCCGCTCTGCATTCTTGCCTCAGTTAAATGAAATCGGCGCTAGCGACACAGATCTTCCTACGTGCATGCGCACGGCATCTTCTCTGGCCATTGGAACAGAACACTCGGAGGATGTAATGGTCAGACCTGTTTCAGCGACCAAACTCACGCATGTAAGATAATAATGTTTTTGGAAACAGCTAGGCATGGCGATATTCTGTTTTATAGAAAGGGAGAGAAAAAAATTAAAATCTTGAAGTACATGTATATATGAGGCATAAGAAAATGTAGAGTAGAAAAATATTTAACTTAACCCTATCAATATAAGTGACGTGTTCGTTTTTATATTTTTCTTCTTTCATATTTACCTATGTTACAGACGATTCCTTTATTACCAACACTGCGTCGTGTCAAATCCGCAAGGAAAAAATGCAAAGATTTGAAGGAAACACCACACCGAGTCAAAAGCGATTATATTAAACCAGTGAGTCAATACATGTATAAATAAGGGTTTCTTGCAAATATTTTTTTTTAATTTTTGAATCAAGTGGGTTAGAACATATTTGTATTTGTACAAAAAGTAAATGTTTCTCAATTTTTTTATCATTATTATTTTGTCCTGTTACAACAGACCCACTATACACTGAAAAGATACATTAGAAAAATCATGAATGTATTACATCTGCTAAGAGTAACAAGGCAAAAGGTGAAAGTAGATCTCCTTGCCGAATGCCAAAATCAGAAGAGGAGAGATCAGAGAATGTCCAAGAAGGAGCAATTGACATTTGATCCTGGTTACTTCAAATCAGCTACAACAACATACGGAGGATTGTCTAACATTGCCCGAAACGCTTTATGGAAGCCAATCGGTCACAGAACTCTCGATGATGTCCGAATACTTACTGCAAGTGAAATTCTTCACAATAATGAATTTATCATTTCAGTTCCATACCATCAGTTAGAAGAATTATGTTTTAAAGGACATGTTGTCAAAGAATTGAAAAAAATCTGAAAACAAAGAGTACTTTTTTCCATAAGATTTTATCTGTAAAGTTTTCTCACCTATATACATGTCATACATTTTATGAAAAGTTAAAAACAAAAATGTTCGCAAAATATTATGAAATAAATATCACTTAAATATATAAAAAGAAATATTTAAAAAAACTTGTTTTTAGCAATTTCCCCTCTAATTTTAGGAAGTTATTTATCGTTTGCCATTCTTCACAAAATACTCTCGTTCGGTGAAGGAAAGGTTGGCACAGGTAGTCTGGTATGATCAATTTGAAAACGATAGGATCATAATACGGCAAGGTGATATGGGATCTAGAATGTATTTCGTCATTTCCGGTTATGCATCCGTACAAAGAACCGATATAGATCCTAGAACAAGTAAGTAATAACAAATAAAAGTAAAATTCTGTTAACTGCCAGGTTGTTGTGGGAGAAGCTCCATTCATAATGTGTTATTTGCGACGATTTGAATATAATGACCTTTGCAAAACACTCAAAGTCTGGCACATCTGTATAATTTTTTTTTAAAATTCTTTTACAGATTCCAAAATAATCCAGCATCTGTATGACGTCACTGCGGGATCAACATTTGGGGAACTTGCTTTGATAAGAAATATGGTTCGGAACTTTACAGTGATTTGCAAAGGTTAGTTACTTACCTTTGTAGGCTTGAATATTTCGAGCTTTTCCATGTGTCACAAAGACTTCGTATTAAAATACACATGTAAGTCAACAAGGACTATGTATGTGAAACACGAATGTTCCTCTAGAAGTAATATAAAATTATTTCAAGGTTTGGGGTTATTACAATTCAACCTGAATGATACGTACATTTGATCTACATATCATTGTTATAATGCAGCATAATATCACACCCCCGCTCTAGATGCGTCTGCTTGTCGCAAAGCCACTGGGGTGGACTATTGGTAAGAAGATAAAAAACCGCCTTACGATTTGCAGACCTTTATTTCTCGTTGGGTCGGACAGTATCAAGGACAGCGTCCCGATTCCAACTCCCCGAATGTTAACAAAAAATCGTATTTAAAGACATGACTGATAATTGACAACTTGAGTAACATATGACATGAGTTATTTGATTTACAAGTAGAGTTAAAGATTATTTTTATAAATAAACAATTATTAAGTAACTCAAAGCACAGCCACAATTAGGAATTCACCATCAGTGGACACCTTCAGACATGCAATACAGTCCATCAGCGTGTCTGATATTCTACACCACTAAATTGTCCACTTTTAAATTTTTATCCCTTTTAATACGGTGTACATAGATTTTTAGCTGTTCACTATGGAATTACTGGAGTTTTAACACTCAAATTAAGTTTACTCCATCAAGGGAAGAAGAAGAAGAAGTCCATCTGGTCATATCACTCATGGCTAATTAAGATAATTAAACATTTCAAGATAGATAAACCTGACGGATTGACGCAATTATGACAACTCATTAAATTAATAACAGACGTGTAGAATTTGAAAGAGACAATATTCAAAGTAAAATTGTTAAAATGTCCAATGGTAAATTTTCATCTGTGACAATAACACAAAACGCACAGATCCATACATACATATTTTTAAATGCATTATTTAAAAAAAATGTATGTCAAAATTCTCTTGAATTTAAAAAAAAAAGATAATTATTCTGTGTTAAAAAAAACAAGCTTCACGATCAAAAGCCATATGAAATCAACGACTGTGCTTTCCTATGTTGAAAGTGGGCATACATCAAGAAATTCAAACATTTTTCAATTCCTCAACCTGAAAAATACTTACTGTATAAAGGAAGAGTGTATTTTAATACAATGATCACGACCTTTTCAAGCACGTGTCGTACTTTTGTTAACCCTGGTTCCAACTGACAGTCAAAAAAGATACAAAAACACATGCAACTTATATTTATACTATATATCCAGGTGTATCCCCAAAAAGGTACATGTATGCTTTTCAAACATTTTTTTCAAAAATTAAAAGTCCACATTTAAATTACTTAATAAAAAATGTTTTTCGGTTGACCCACACCTAATCCATACATAGAAATGCATCAAAGTTCAGCTCAATCTCTTGTTTACATGTAAACAAAAAAAAAACCATTCCTGGAAGAAAAGTATGGCAAATTGTCAAAATTCGCACACCTAAGATATTTACAGTGACCACTTTGTTATATAGGGCAAAATAATGAAAACATATGGATTATTATTCTAGGCGAATCCGAGTTTTTAAGTCTCAGTAAGGATGAATTCAACTCCATTCTGAGAAAGGATTACGAGGATTCTTGGAACAAGCGATTAGACTTCTTTCGAACTTCGATTTTCTTTGAAAAGTTGTCAGACGACCAAAAGCGGCAAATGGCTGATATGTCGAGAGTAATAGAGTTTTCCAACAATCGGGTGAGTACTTTTATATTTATAGATGTTTGATCCTTTCACGCGCGTCTCTCTATACACAAAGTATCCATTATGCAGGAGAGTACCTTAGTTGATATACGTTTGCTTGGATGAGAGGCCTAATAATATTTTTTTTTTCAGAACAATGTTCTTGAACGTAATAAACATAAATATATAAGATATTTATATTTAAGACCAACAAAAATTCATAGTTTCCCAGGCCAAAAATTTCAAAATTCAATGCGGCAGACAGGTCCATTTTTTAAGCAGGTGTTATACCTTTTTTCTCAACAAAATGATGATATCAACTGATTCTTACCTTTTTTGTTCTCTTACATTAATCATAATATGTATTCAACTTTGAATAATGTTATTTTAAACATTTGTTTAAAAGTAAATTCATAAAATACCGTATTATAAAGAAATATATTGTTTATATTTAATAAAAACGTATATGAAAAGGGGAATAACTCGATTTTCTTTTTCAACTTGGAAACATAGGTAATCAGAGAATACAGAGCTCACCTCAAAGAATGTTGTCTTTAAGTAAGGCAAAGTCCCACACTAAACTAATAATCTACTAGTGTGCATTCCTAGATGCAACATTTATGCAATTTTGGTCTGCTAGGGCTTGCAGTTACTTAGGAATGGACGTATCTAAAAACTTAAAACTAGTCACTCATCCAGAAAATGTATGTCAAATCCAGCATCTGAGGCAAGTTTGAGAGTGTTCGTCCCTTGATACATCATCCATGCAAGTTTGGTCAATACAGGACTTATAGTTACTTGGAAATGAGATCTGCTCCAAAAACTTTAACCTGGTCACTCATCCGGAAAATGTAGGTCAGATCCAGCATCCAAAGCAAGTTCAGTAATGTGCATCCTTAGATGTGTCATCCATGCAAGTTTGGTCAATATATATAAGGCCTATAGTTACTTGGAAATGAGACCTGCTCCGAAAACATTAACCTGGTCATTCTTAAGCTGAAATTGCAGCATCTGAAACCTTGACTGGTACAATGAAACACACTAGAAGCATCCTCCATGCATCTCTGATTAATGTAGGGCATAGAAGTACTTGAAAAGAAAACTGCTCCAAAAACTTTAACCTGGGACGCCGACGCCGAGGGTATAACTATATTACATAAGCTCCCTCAACTTCGTCGGAAGAGTCTATTAAGTAATAGACTCTACCAACTTTACTTCGTCGAGGTGAGCTAAAAATAGAAAATTGAGTTATTTCCCTTTTAAACATGTCAATAAAATTGATCAATGCTGCAGTTTATGACCTGATGCGGCGGTGCCTGAGAAATTGATGATGGGGGGGGGGGGGGGGGGGCTAAGCCAAAAGATTTAATTTGTTGATGTCTTAATCAGAGCAATATAAGCTGCTCTAGATTTGTAAGAATCTGTAATTTAAAAATTTGTACAAACTTATTTCAAAGTGCTCTTTTAGCTAAAAAAAATTATTGCATGAGCGCAAACCAATATTCAATACATGATTTTAGGGTAACATGTAAAAATGTCATCCCTCAAAGAAAAAAATAAAATAAAAACCATTGTTGATCGAGGCGATTTTTTGTTGTACTGAATGTTTTAAGAATGGTGAACCATACGCGCCTATTTCTACTCGGATAATAATTTTGCAATGTTACCTGCACGTTACTACGAATTATTACAAAGTTGTTAAGGGACTTTCTTTCTTGTCAAAATATTTCTTCTGAGTTTTTTGGAACCATCCCCCTTCTTCTATCCGCTTATGTACAAGAAAAGCAAACACATAAAATTGAATGAGTTCTTTACTAAAAATATACATCAATATTTTATGAGCATTTTAGGTTATCCATGGAAATGTTCCCGGCATGACGCATGACGTTTTCTTCATCAAGTCCGGTAAATGCGAGATTGTAAAGAAAGTCGCCTTTGTAAGATGTGTTTCTCCATACCTCCGGCCGCAGCTCGTTTTACAAGGATCAAAGTCCTCTAAAGCTGATCCAAACAAGTTCCTCAACAAGCCGTATGGTCGTCGTTACCGTCGCCTAACCCCCGAGAATCACTTCCTCACGGTGCTTCAGCTGACAGCGGGGGACTACTTCGGAGTCGGTAAGAGTACATCTGGCAGAAATACTATTACGAGTATATAATACGATTTAGCTTTCGATAAAATATCTTTTGGGGGGATATAAATCTTTTGTTTTTGTCCCCCGCTTTCGCGAAAGCGCGAGGACATTAAATTTCAATCGTCTGTCCGTGTATCACAAAAAACTTCAACATTGGTCATAACTTTTGAATGAGAGAAAATAGGGCTTTCATATCTCATAAGATCTTTCTGAATATACCAATACTTTTGACCTCACGACCTTGAATAACGGCGTTTTTTAAAAAAAAAATTACATAAGTAATAACTTTTGAATGAGAGGATAGGACTTTCACAATCCACTTACATGTGCATTACCTGTGACAAGACCTTTCCGAATGTATTCAACCTTCTTTTCAAATGATCTGTCCTTGGCCATAGCTTTTGTACCTGAATAGACAGGGCTTTCGTATTTTTACATGTGTTTTATCCGTGGCAAGACCCATTCCTAATGTATTATGATTTTTAGGCCCGTAGAACGTAGAACCGTCTTTTTTATATTCCATCCATTTCCAAGTATATTTTTTCCGAGTATAGTATTTTGATATATTAAATTTTCCTGTAGATTCTGCCCCCCTCCCTTTCCACTTTTTGATGTTGTAAGGTCGAACACTGGCAAATTCCAGGATTTGGAGAGTAAATTAACTTCTTGTTCTTCTTTGGCTTATCAGATAATTTTGGAAAGTTACCCCCCACTTTTGGTCAGTTAAGGTTTTTCTGCTGGTCAGTTATCATTTTGGTAAGTTGGCTTGCCCCTCCCCCTTTTGAAACCGTTACTACGGACCTGATCGATTTTAAACTCATGACATTGAAGTCAAGTGAAGTCAGGACAGACAAGACAGTTACAATATGCCGCTGTAATAATTTCATCCCATCCAATAAGACCCCGAAAGCGGAGGACCACAATTTTCTGAATTTTGCTTATTTTTCTTGGCTTGTAATTTCTGCACAATGAAATTCATACTTCTAGCATTTAAATAATAACCATTTTTAGACTCTGAATGATATTCAAATTTCGATGTTTATGTTTTATTTTCAGGGGAGGATCTAACAGACACGTTTATCATAGCAAAAGGAAAGGTTGAAATTATCGCCTTGAATGCAGTAACATTCAGTTTGAATTATACCGTTATCCAGTCCATGCGAGATGACAGAAAAAATCTCATACCATCCACAGAAGAACTGGCCAGGCAATTCGAAGCTAACCGGAAATGGATGGAATATAAGAAGAAGGTTGTAAATGACGTTGTCAAACGGAGAAAGAAGTCAACCTGTGCATCCTACAATGACGTGCCTGAAGCTATGCTCAATGAACCATCCATTCCTCTGGATCTGATTAACTATGAAGAATTTCAATAGATTCCTTTCATTAAAACACGCTTTTGTATGCTGATAATAAAACATGCTTTCAAATCAATTCGAATTCCTTTTTTCTGACAACATTAAGTATTTCTTTCTCCTATGTTATGCCTATTCATTTGATTCCACCACCCCCACCCCCAAGATTCTGTTTTATATTGATAAAGTATTTGTCAGTAAGTTAACTCATTGACATTTATTTGCTTTCATCATGATATGTATTATAATAATTGCAAGAATCTCCATTTAAAAAAAAAACTATATTCCTTGCTCAGCTGAGTGCACTCCTAAGAAAAAATGTCGGTACATAAACTAGCACTTAATTTACATTTCTCTGAGAGATATTTGACATAAAGATTAAGAAGAGATCATTAAAACGAAAATTACTGCATCCTAGGCAAAAATGGGCCAAAATTTTTATGAGGGAATGTAAAGGAAGTACTCTAAAGCACACTCTTAGAGCAATAAAGCCAAATCCTTCAAATGAAAAATATAAATAATGCAAAAATCATGAAACAAACATGTCATTTTTTCACATTGTAAAGCTGAGTTACATGAGTTTTGTAGCCCATGGGCCTCATGGTCATCTGATGGGCCAAGATGACTAGTTCTGAACATTACCTGCAAGAGAGATTCCAAAATATTGCTGAAATACTAAATACAACAACAGTTATTTATTTTATTAAAATATTTATTGAGTTATAATGAGTGCAAAATCCGCCGTTCTCTTTGCTTCTTTATGTAGTCTTCCATTTTCTCATATCCTGTCATTTCATCTGGGGGATAGTAGACTTCTGGAGGATTCCCCTCCCTGAATACAATGTACACATGACAATATCGAGTCTTTATCTGGGCAGGGAACTTGTATGCTAAGCGCATGCCCTTCAAAATTTTTCCTCTGTTACAATATGCATGCTCTGTGAAGAATATGAAATTGTTGATAATTTGGTATATTAATTCTGAATATGGGAAAGCTTGACAAATCTTAGAAATTTTAATACAGTCAAACCTCGTTATCTCGAACTCAATGGGACTGAGAAAAAACTTTGAAATATCTGAGGGTTCGAGATGATGACGGTAAAATACTTAAAGAAAAAGTGCTTGAGACTTCCAAATCACTTTGACATGTCCATGGTTCTAGATACCGAAGTTTAATCATACCTAAATGTTTTTTCATGTTCATGTTGCAAAAATATGACTGTAAAGCCTGTAGTGGTGTTTGAGATGTAAACATTACTTATAACATATTATAAATACAGACAATCCATATCAATGACAAACTTATCATAACAAAACTAATTTTAGCTAAAACCTATCAAAATTTTGTGTTCATATTTGCAACGCAGAAATTTTGCATTGAACTGAAATGTTTTTGAATAAAATATTCCTCAGTCTCTGGGACATTTCAGTGTTTGTATACTGTAATAAAAAATAAGCAAAAATCTAAAAACTATATGCTTGACCTGATCATGCACTGTACCACACAAAGATATGTAAGTCGACTGCATTTTATATCAGCTAACTACTACAAGCTCATTTAACAAAATAGATCTATATTTGTCAATAACTGCCAAAGATATTTCTGTAAGAGAGATAATTCCTCACACCTTCTAGGCTCTTTTTCCCTTCAGTATTAATTAATATGACTGTTTTCTGGTTCATCATTTTGCTATGATTACTATAGATATATATTGCACACATGTCTTTGATTTTTTTGGGGGGTGTTTTCATTTTTGGAGGTTTGATTTCTAAAAGCAAAATTTAATGTATAGATTTAAATATTCAGAAATCATGTATGCAAGTGGCTGAAAGTGTGAGTTACTTATCATAACATCTAAATTTAAGGCAAGAAAGATAATCAATATTTTACCATTCTATCACAATTTTGTAACTGTGATACCTACCTATCCACATATTTGAAGGATATTCAATTCCATGTGCTTTCACTGCTATTTTCTGACCTTCTAGTAAACACTGTCAAAAAGAAAAATAAAATTAAAGAATTGTGATCAATTATTCAAGCCCCCCCCCCCCCCCCCCCAAGAAAAAAAATAAGTAAAAGTGTAAAACTTGTGGGTCTTTCCAAATCTTGCATATCATTTTATCAATATATAAAAAAAAATGATTTGTGGTTATGATCTATAAAATACCTTGGAATATCTCAAAAATTTTAAATATGAATTATTAGCAAGGATTTTGCAAAATATCATCCTTAGCAATAGATAATTGAACATGATATGTGACATTACAAATTTATAATGGCCTTGAACCTTGGAAATACTTTGGTGATAGCTAGTACATGTACTTAACATTAAGAAAATGAGCAGTATTTTATGGGAACCTCAATGCCAATTTGATCATCTGAAAAAAATATAGAACACAATATAATTAAATTTCTTTTTTAATTCCTAAAAATAGAAATTCATTCAATACCTCTTTTAAAATTTTGGCTCCCTTGTTTGGCAGAAAAGATACCTTTTTAATAGCATCATCAATTGATAATCCTCTTATCTAAGTTGAAATGAAAAAAAAATGATTAAATTAGTTTCAAGTTCTAATCTTCAAACAATTTTTAAGATAAAAACTGAGTTTAAAATGAAAGTAAACCCAGTATTTTTCTCTCCTTCATTAAACAGGTCTTGCTGGAGTACATACACATACGATGACATATATCACATGATTTACCATAGCTGTAAATTTCCACATTTTCTTAGGTGAATAGCGTAAATCTCTGGCTTCATGAAAATATTCCTAAAAAAAAAAAAAATTAATATTTTACTGCTTTTAAAATAAACATTAAATGTAAATTTCATTACAATGAAAAGCATTTGAATACAAATTTTGAATATAGTTTAACTCTCAGACAAATATCTGCTTCTAAGCTGCTGAGTTCTTCTTTAAAAATCTATATAAATGCTGAACTTACAACTGGTCTAGGAGGCTCTGTAGGGTCTTGTGGTGGATAAACAATTTTATTGTATTCTTTAAATTTACTCTCATTTTGTGACTGATACATAAACGCATACGGTGAATCTTCAGGATCATAACTTGCTTTACCAAATGGACTAGAGTGGAAGTTATGTATTACTGAAGGCCATTGTGTACTTCCTCTGAAACAGACCATTTTCTGTTTGAAATTGGTTCCATTTAACAGGTATATTTCAGGTCAAATTACCTATTAGTTTCAAAAACATACACTCTATAGTAAAACTGATTATAAACATTAATAGCAAGTGCAGCAAGCGGCGCAAAGCGCCGCTCGTCACTGCAAGCTCTCAAAGCAACACCTGGACGAAGAGAAAATTCGGACTTTGCACATTGATCCAAACGATTTTTTTTCCGCAGTAACCTGTGGTCCCATAATGCTGTGCGAATTGCAGCTCGCCGTAAACTACGTTCTCATGGTAGCAACAAAAGTTCAACAAAAAATAAAATCACATTGATTTAAAGGATATTGCGAAAAAGACAGTAGATTAAACATTCTTCATTAAAACTAGCACTGTTCAGGCTTCGATTTGGTAATGCAGCTTACATACGACGTCATGTGACGTCAGAGTCTAGATTGACGTACCAAACGTCACGTGTGGTTTGAAAAAACGGATATGAATTAAAACTGAGTATCTGCGCTCGCCCTAACGGTCGCACCGTCAACATATGATATTTATCATATCATTTTAATAAAAAACGAATGTCACAGCTAAAAAAAATATTTGAAAATACCTTTGTATTACTTTCGAACACTTTCTCAATGTCCTTAAACCTGCAATACAAATTATTGAAAGAAATTGCAATTCACATTCAATAAATTCCGTTGTAAGGCTCTTTTTACAATGATTATCAAGAAATGATATGACTTTATATGACTTTACTTCTTTTTAAAGTAGATGTGTTCTGTCAAAGTTTTTTTCCCTAACTTACACAACATTTTGTAAAAGATTCACCGAATCCTCTTTTTTCTTTCTTTTTGGACAGAAATGTTAAAAATCAGCGTCAATCGACGTAATTATTTTTTATCTCTGAAAATGTGTTGGAATAATCGCTATAGAGATATAGATTTTGCTTTATTATTACTCGGGCGAGTGACGGTTATTTTTCCGGAATTGACCGAAGAAACACAGAAATGTAAAATAAATAAGTAAATAATAATAATTAATAAAAAAAAAGTTAATCCGTGATGTATGATGGTAAAACTTTTAGGGCGGGCGCAGTCTCAAATGTCGTTTTGCTTACGACGTCACACTTTTCACATGTTTCAGTAGACTCGTTTAGCCTGCATTTACTGCGTATAACATGTAAGTTCATCTTATTTATTATGACAAAATTTGAAATTTTATCTGTGCGCTTTTAGCGCACGCAATGAAATGAAATTAACAATGAAATTAAGATTTATGAGTAAGGCTGAAGTAAGATATAAATATGTAATCTCCAGTGGCGGATCCAGAAGTTCCTGGGGGGGGGGGAGGGGGTTGAGGCCCTTAGGGCCGAAGGGGGAGGGCATGGGAGGGGGTGTCCCCCTCCTATAGGTGGGGGTTCGGGTGGCCTCCTCCGAGAAAGTTTCTTTAAAAATGGCTCCAAATAGTGCATTTCCCAGCATTTTAAATTGAATTAGTTTTTTTCCCCACTTTTTTCTAGTTGTTTTTCAAGACCGACCTACCCAAATTTTTGAGAATTTGAACAAAAAATTAAAATTTGGGATTATTTTTAACTTACTTGTAAACATGAAAAATAAGACTTTTCTAGAAAAAACAATTAAATGCAAAATCTGATAAAATTAGAAATATCGTTATTTGACATTATAAAAGTATCCAATTCTTCATTTTAAAATGCAGGTCCAGTGTGTCACACGTGAAGCTCTAACTACCAAAATACAATTGCATGATGTGCAATTTCCCAACACTTAGAAAAATTGGATTCTGTGAAGAAACCCTAATTACTCTTTTCAACTACTTGAATATACTGTTCATATAATTTGCAGTTTATATACAAGTATTGATATTTCATATTGAAGAATGAATAAAAACTATTTTGGGAAATTGTTGGAATTATTGCGTATTCATTTGGGGAGAGAGGGGGGGAATTAATTATATGCACTCTTTACCCACTTGCATGTACATGTACCAGCCTAATGTTTGAAAAACAAGTCTTTGGGAAATTGTTGGAATAATTGCTTATTCTTTGGGGGGGGGGGGTTATTACAAGTATATGCACTCTTTAATTCTATTATTTTTTACCCCCTTACCAGCCCAATGTTTGAAAAAAAAGACTTGAAAAACAATAATAAAAAAAGTGGCCAATTCTTGTTTTCACAGGACCTCTACTTTATACATATCTGTTTTACCTAAATTCATAATACAAAGTTGTAACCGTTAGTTGGGTTTTTTTTAAAAACATCATTCAACAGATCTTTTGCTTTTTAAAATTGCATTGAAACTTCCATCTACAAAAGGAACACTTTCAATGTGCTTTTTGGTACAGGTCACAACGTAAACCACTGGTAAACTGTTATTACTCGAAGGGTCTACTTTCCCAGTAGTAAAACAACCTGATTATTTCATGAAAATATTGTATTAATTGATTTTTTTCCTAAATAATAATAATAATCACAGTTTATTCACGTAGTTCAAGAAACACTGATAAAGTAACATTCAATTAAATTCTTGAAAGTATATTACTTAAGCAATTATACCAAAACCGTAATAACTATGTGCAGTTTTGGTTAGTATATGACCTTGTGTGATCTCTGTACTGTTGATTACCTATGTATCAGTGTATTGTGTGCACTCAAGCGGAAAGGGATTTCTCGTGGTGGCTGTATATTTCACCTCTTTGTGTATAACAATGGGCTTGGATAGAGTCTCATTTATAAGATATATTGTTAAAATGACCCTTGTAAAAAAAATTGATTGGGCGGGGGTGGGGGGTCCCGACCCCCCCAAACCCCCCTGAATCCGCCACTGATTTTCCAAGTTCCCGGTATCCCCAGCCTATATAAAGCAGGGACCTACATGTATATAGAGGTCCCTGATATAAAGTACGAGATCTCGCGAGATCTTCCTTCTTCGGAGAGGCCGAGAAAGTAGTAGCTATAATTTTTTTTATGCCCCCGTTATCGAAGATTCGGGGGTATATAGTTTTTGCCCTATCCGTCCGTCTGTTTATCTGTTAGTCTGTCCGTCTGTTTGTCCGCATAAACTTTAACCTTACCCATAACTTTTGATTGGTTGGAGCTATGGCTTTCATACTTCACATGTGTATTCCTTGTGACAAGACCTTTCATTGGGTACCACCAAATTTGACCTTTTGACCTGAACCTTGGAGTTTGACCCAGTTTTGCAAAATTTTACCGAACATTAACCTTGGCCATAACTTTTGAACAATTGCTGCTTGGGCTTTCATACTTCACAAGTGCAATCCTTGTGACAAGACCTTTTTTTGGATACCAACAATTTTGACCTTTTGACCTTGAACTTGGAAATTGACCTTTTGAAAAACTTTAACCTTGGCCATAACTTTTGAACAGTTAGTGCTAGGGCTTTCATACTTCACACGTGTAATCCTTGTGACAAGAACTTTCTTTGGATACAAACAACTTTGACCCTTTGACCTTGACCCTGGAGTTTGGCCTACTTTTGGAAAACTTCAACATTGGCCATAACTTTTGAACGGTTGGTTGTAGGGCTTTCATATTTCCCATATGTAAACCTTGTGACAAGACCTTCCTTTGGATACCATTAATTTTGACCATTTGACCTTGACCTTGATGTTTGAAATACTTTTGAAAAAAACTTTAACCTTTTCCATATCTATTCAATGGTTGCTGCTAGGGCTTTCATATTTTACAGGTATATTCCTCCAGACAAAACTTACTTTGGGTACCAACATATTTGATTTGCATTTGAGAAAGTTTAACCTTTGCTATAAGTTGCCATAGGGGGGCATCAGTGTTTCAAAAACACAGCTTGTATTTCTTATTAATAATATGATATATTTTTAAATTTATAATTATTATTATGAATTTTTTTCTTAATTCATATAAATGTACATGAAATTCAAAAGTAGTCATTATCTATGATAAAAACAATACAAATATGCTAGAATTATAAGTACAGGTGTACAAATAAACTTTTTTTTATCATGTTTATTAAATTTTGATAAAAAAATTCTCAAAAATGACTAATTCTAGCCAGTGCTTTTTCCCTGAAATCACTGCTGGAGTCTATATCACTCAAATTTGTTATGTCTCTATATCTTTTATTTCATTATATATTTTTTTGCCCTGTCCGTCCGTCTTTCTGTCTGTTTGTCTGTTTATCTGTTTGTTCGCAAAAACTTTAACCATTGCCCATAACTTTTGATTGGTTAGTGCTATATGTCTAATATTTCACATGTGTATTCCTTCTGACAAGGCCTTTCCTTGGGTACCAACATATTTGACCTTTTGACCTTGACCTTGAAGTTTAACCTACTTTTGCAAGAATTTACCAAACTTTAATCCTGGCCATAAATTTTTAACAGTTGATGATAGGGCTTTCATACTTCACATGTTTATTCATTGTGATAAGGCCTTTCGATGGATGTAAATATTTTTGACCTTGACCTATGAGTTTGACCCTCTTTGAAAAACTTTAACCTTTGACATAACTTTTGAACAATTAGTACTAGGGCCTTCATATTTCACAGGTGTATTCCATGTGACAAGGCCTAGGGATACGAACAATTTTGACTTTTTGACCTTGGAGTTCTACCTTCTTTTGAAAAACTTTAACCATGGCCATAACTTTTGAACAGTTAGCGTTAGGGTTTTAATGTTTCACATGTGTATTTTTTGTGACAAGGTTTTCCCCTTGGAACCTTTAATTTGACCCTTTGACCTTGACCTTCGAGTTTGACCCACATTTTAAAGAAAATTTAACCTAGGCCATAACTTTCAATGGTTAGTGCTTGGGCTTTCATATTTTACAGGTATATTCATTGAGAACAAGTCCTTTCTTTGGGTAACAACATTTTTCATCCCTTGACCTTGAGTTTGACTTGCATTTCAGAAACTTCAACCTTCGCCAAAAGCTGTCATACGGGGGCATCAGCGTTTCACAAACATATCTTGTTTATCAAGTTTTTAATGTCATTTCTTTAGGAGTTAAATTTTCAGTTCTCACCATTGTCTCAAGATGTTTAAGAATCTTATCAACATCCTAGGTTTCATTATATCTAGGTAGAGAGGGATAGAATTGAAAGCTCCTTTCATGACCTCTTTTATTAAAGGTTGTTGTCCTATTTTTCACCTTTGAACCGAACCTGAAATGCTGTGATAAGTGATCTGTAAATATTAATGCTTCTATATTCATAACCCTTATGATATAGTGATGACAGGAAATTTGCTACAGATTCCACAGGGGCACGAAAGGGATCAGATTGTTGTTGATCACACCAGCGAGTCCAGTGTTCCCAGCAGCTGTTGTAAGCTGACTGACTACCCTGTCTACAGGCTGCCGTGAGTAACTCTGAAGTTTGTTTTGAAACAAAGCAGTAGAATTGGTTTCGCAATTGCCATTTGTGACAGAAGTGGATAAAATGATTGGGTCTACTATTCAGGAGTTATCATAACTAGTTCTCCCCCTCCCTCTGGGGTTTGGATAGACACTTGGGGATCATGCAGAATGGAGGAAAAGCATATACTTTCTTCTCCTTTAACACTTTGTTTGAGTTCCCTCATGTACACAGCTGCAGGTATTACTGCCTCTACCGCGTTGCGTTTAAGGACCCAACCAAACTTGCCAGTTCTTGAATTGTAATCTGTAATTGTAAACGTTCTGACATTTCTTGATCAGGTTGTTTACTTTTGTCTGAGGCAGGGAGACCGTCATGTTGTTCGAATCCAATTGGAATCCTAGAAGTTCCAGTACTTGGATAGGATTTGTTAGAGACTTTTTCCAATTTATCACCCACCCCAGATGATGTAACATCCAAATCAAAGAGTCTCTATCCTT